ATCGTAGCGACGGCAGTTCCACGAAGATCAGTGTGATTTCTGCGTGCAGCAGCTCCGTAAATTAACATCATCTTTATTGACTATTTTAACTTCCAATTACTATACGTTCGCTGCAAAGACCGTTTTATATCGGGCTTCGTATTTTCCAAGCGTGCTGTTATTTGCGTCTTTACGTTGCGTATTTGCAGAACTTAACGAAACACGGAGTGTCCGGTTCATCGTCTTCCTAGACATTTTATGAACTTCGTATTTCATAATTTAAATATATGGGGATCTATAATTAACTCGTTCTTGAAATGAGAAAATATAGTATTCTTTTCTTGGTATTTGCTCTTTTATTTTTAAATTATAGAAATGACAATGTTTAGCTTTGTTTCTAAATATACTACAAATATAAATAACTACAGAGAGTTTAATATATCATAAAATGATGGAAAAGTATATAAAGTGCAGATATTTACTCAGAAATTATTTGAAAAAATATAAAAAAAGTATCGACAATGTTCCGAGAATAAATTATGGATGAATTTAAATACGTGATTTTCGAACCGGCTATCGTATTAATATATAATTTGGCTTGGCTCCTCGTTTGGTAACGGTAGCTTTGCGAGATCGACGTGGACAACTGAACCCGTGTTCTCGGGACTGATCACGATGCGAAGTGACTTAAACTCGACACACGGACGCCGGCCGGAGCCGATCGACTGATCGAGAAGCCGCGTCAAGATAGACGCGCTTTGTAATAGGATTGATGCGGCCAGCTGGCACAAGCCTGAGAGATTTGTACCGAATCCTTTAAATAATGTTACCCAAACGAGTCCCGACAGGCCATGTGACGCCGATCTCGTACGATCAGCTGTCCATTCGAATTTTACGCCAAGTTCGCCGTTCAGAGATTAATGTTCTACCGAATAATCCTCTGCTACGTCGAGAAATACCAAAATGCTACCGCGAATAATATCGATGTCTAATTGTGGCATTTTACATAACCGTGATATCAATACTTTGGAATGAAAAACCAATATTTTTATTTACTAAGAAAGTAGATCAAATGTTCTATAATTATTATATGACGTTACCTTCCTTTTACTTTTGCTAATAATAAATGTGTGACATAATTCGAAGAATTGATGCAAAATTTTAAATTTAGATCTCATGAAGCAATAGACTATTTGTCAGATATTGTAAATTTTGAGCCAAAAATTTCAGTAATCTTAAAAATATAAAGAGCTAATGTATTCGGATATTAAAAAACGATAGATTTATTAGAAGCACGATTTAAAAAATTTTGTGAACAATTGTGAAACATGATTATTCATCAAATATTAATTCAGAGAAGAATTCGCGGACCTAATTTACTCCACAATCCGAACTATGCTATATCTTTCGGTCGTAAGCAGAATATTCGAGCAGCACTCGGTGCGACCAGGTGCGACCAGGACTGGGAGGCACTCTGGACCAACTGCGATATGAACGGCAGGACGTAGGAATGGCAGGATGCCAGGATAGCAGTCAGCTTCGAGTCACGTACATAACAAATGATTGCGGGCTGACCGAGCGCGAGAAGGGGGACCGAGAGCAGAATGAAGAAGAGAGACGCGCGCGAGCGCGGACGCTCCACGATCTGTTGGTGGTCCGATGCTCCGGGCGTCGCATCGTTTGTCAAGCCGTCGATATGCCGATCCCGCGGCACGATTACCATATTTTAACGCCAGCGTTATTGGTTCGCCACCGGCTACCGGAATATTAAAAGGCGCGGCTGTGCACGAGGCGCGATCTGTTCTCCGCTCCGTGGATCTCGCTTTGAATAGATAAGCGCAGAATCGGTAGCGAGCGTAATGATCCTCGGTATCGCGCTGGAATGCGCGATTAAGATTTAACGATTCGCGAGGAATGAATTATATGACACCATATATTTTTATTATCATCACATTATTTACATCACGGACGGACGGCTCCGTCTTTTTATCACTGACCGTTCATTAACATAACATTTATGCGACAATTCGCTGAATCTAAATGAAATCAGATTGTGCGTCAAGGGTGATCTATGCGACACTCCGTGATTTCTGCCACTGACTCGATTACTCGGAATCAAATTAAGAAATTGACATCGTTTCCTGGCGTCGTGCGGCCAAGTGCCGGATACAGCGCGCCGTTTTTGATTTCCGGCGAAATCCGTGGCTCGAGTAGGCGAGAGACGAGGCGAGGGAACGTGAGAGTAGAACGCGCCTCGGGCCGGCACCCGGGGGGGATGAGTAGTCAATTTCCTTTCAGCGACACCGGTGACATCGGCGAAGGTGACGGGACCATTTATAACGGGCGCTAATAGATCCCCGGTAAGCCGGCGTGAGGCCGTTTTACAGGTTTTCCGTCAACATCGAAATACATCAGAGGTATAGCCGGCCGCATCGCCCGGCGACTAATGGTCGTCGACGTCTACCTCGACGTGTCCTTGTCGCCGGGACGCGCAAGTGACGACGTCGGACGGCGGCGGCACCCCGATTCGAGAATCGTTCTCAACTTGATAAATCGACGATATCCGAAAAATTTGTCGTGCCCCACCCCGTTCAGCTTTCACGGGCCATTGAAACGTTAAATGCCGTGAATCGGGAGGAATCTGTTTTCCCTCCTCGAACGAAAGTTTCCAAAGTGAAACGAGAACGCGAAGAAACTCTGCGCCTTGCGAATAAAAGAACAATTTACATAACTTTTTTCTAAATTTTGACATTCCGGCATTTATCGACGAATATTAATATCGCATTATTGTGGGATATTTTTAATTAATTTGTATACGAGACTTTAATTACTTTATACAAATCACGCTAAATTAATATTCACCGGAACGGACTCGAAATTATACCATGCTACATTATAGTAACACCATCTTGCTCGTATCCAGCGGCTATACACGATTAATCTAAGCCAATCGAAGTCTTTTTCTCGCAGGAGGCAGACTCGTATCCGTTCGAACACGATCAGAAATCATTCGCGTCCTGCTGGCTAGTAAATGGCCCGGTCCGCTAAAGTTGAGCGGCATTGACAGGAGATTGGAATCATCGACTCGGCATCCGTTGCACCGCTCGGCGATCAGATATGTCGAACTCACACACGACATAACAGCCGCGGAGTGCATACGTGCAACCCGTCGCGAGAAGGTGCTGGTATGAAATTTAAGACACTCGCTTGGTCGGATCTTCGTTATTCTTCGCGGTAAACGCTGGCAGCATGATTCATGGTATACCGGCCGTAATAATTCGTCATGACTTCTGCTCATTCGTCATTTGACGGGGAAACGTTCAACGTCGATGCGCAAGCACCCGAGACGTTCACGAAATAACGTGACTTTCTATCAGTCACTGTGATTACAATGCAAAATGAGGAGCGCGGTATAAATTCGCTCCGCTCGACTATGAAAATTTCTCAGCGTGTGATAAATATATGATAAAAATATTGCATCAAATCGTTTCTACATTTTCTATTTAAATCTAATGAACTGAAAGCCGTGACTTTCGTCAAATACGAAATGCATCGATGGCAAATTCGAGACCGAGTAGAGTTTTAATCTTGAAGATTCGGAACTGACGGCTGGCACAGAAATAATTATGGGTGCAGTAAAATCTAATAGGGGGGAAGGGTTCGATGAATCTTTCGACCGCGCTTCATCAGCATCGAATTCGTACGAGGAGCAGAGAGGGACTGGTCCCTGATTGCCCGCAAACGAAGTAGACGGCCGATTTCCGCTTACGAGTGGAAGTAATTTGGAGTGTAAGGAATTTCGGACCACCAAAGGTGACCACCGTCGATCGGCTGAATGGAATCCGTTGTGGCCACTTCGCTCGTCGATCGAGGAGCGTCAGCGTCAGGAGGATCGGAGACTCATCTCCGTGCACTCGACTCAAGTATCGACGACTCACTATAATAATCTGACAGGCCTCGATCTCGTGCTCCAAGATTTCTTGTATCCACGCAGGGATGCTTCTCTTCGTCTTCTCTCGGCTCTTGTATAAACAGCGCGGTATTTTGATTTGAAGAAAAATAGTAATCGTTCCTCGTGGGTGCATGCAAATATATCGTTAAACAGAAAAAATACACGACGGATTTATTCTTTGAAAACCAAAGAAAGGAAAATTATTTGTTATAAATTAAGTTATAATGAAAACCGTATATACATCTTTTCAACGCCAAAGAATACAGTGTCGTAGATTCGACTCGATGTCTCGCATGTTTTCACGTGAAGAATAATATTGCTTAATCATTGCCCCATAGAACCTGTCCGAACATCGTGTCTCAAGGGTCAATATACTGAAGAAAAAAATAACTAGGATCTTTTCCGTTAAATTGGCGATTATACGCTCGGTTTGACTAAATTGGAAATTTTCTACTCTTTTTTATCGTCTACTCAGACAGTTTTGTTCCAGTTAGCACACAAATTTCTTGTCGCATCGAATATACATAAAAGGCTATTGTCGTAGATTATATAATAGATATTTCAAAATTCAGTAAAGAAAGGATCTGATTTGTTATTACACATGCGATTACGAAGTACAATTTATTGAAATTATAAATAATGATCGTCTTTAAATGCTTAACGCCAAATTAAAAAGGATAAATGACAGTTTATATCGTGTGTAAATATTCGTTACGTATTTCACATCCATTATTTTCTTCCCGCGAATGTCCTGCTACGTAGCTTCGATACGATCTGGCTCGAGTAAATGGAGAGCCGAGTTACTCTTCTTCTGGCAACAACGTCTTAAGCTGCTTGGGTGCATTGTTGCTGCTAATGGGCCTGCAGCCACTTCGCGGCTACCGCTTGCAGCCTAATTATGATTTATAGTCCTCGTACCTACAGCGCATTGGGCATCGAACACTCTCTCTGACCATGGTAACCCCGTAATCGTTGTCCTCCTACCAGTGTCCACAGGTTATTTCCAGCTATAGTCAAGGTTGTTCTGCGTCTTCGAAAGCGCGGGCATCAATAATATCGAATCGTGAAATACATTTATTTTTCTTTATTAAGATGATCAATATATTATGTCGCCGCATTAACTCCTAATTTGTGTCATAAACAAATAACGTAGCAATACACTTTAATTATTACTTTTTAATGCATTTTACAAATTTTATTTACTTTTTACTTGAGATACTTTAGTCAATTTTTTAAATTAATGCTTTAAGAAGGGCCGGAAATCCTTGCCAAACCAATTTTGAAGAATCGGCTGTGTCGATGCATGACAATGCATCCCCCGCACACTCACGTGCGTGTTCCATGTTCGATTTAGTACACGAATACTGCTAACGATGCCTACATAATAGAAACACGAGTCAACGTGTCGTGGGCGACATCCTCTAACATAACCGATCGGAGCTGGTTCGTGACCCGGACGAAAGGTTTTTGTTAGGATAGGGCGGGCAGAAATAGAAGGAAAGGGCGGGAGAACTGTAGGCAGATTTCAATATTTATAACTTATTGTCTCTCAAACTTATTGACCCCACCAAGGAGATCCCCCAGAAACGCCAGACGAATTTTATATGTCCTTGTGTGAACTCGTTCTTCTTGCCGAGTTCTCACTTTCACTTGACGAAGTTAGTCCCTTGACATCGGATCGTATTTCTTGTTAGATGCCGGCAAGAAAGTTTCGGTCAGCCTTACTTGTGTTTAATTAGGAGCTTTTCGTTCCTGTGAATTATAATACAATTGTTTCATTAGAGACGAGAATATTGATACAAATTTACTGCTTCGAATTTATTTTATTTTTTAAGATAATTGATGAATCAACGCCGATATAAAATGGGTCATGAAATGACGATACCAATTTGCATATTAACTTTTTTTTTCTTGTTCTTTGAATCATTATAGTCATCAATATTTTTGACATCTTATTACACTTTCAAATATCTGCATTGATTGTAGAATGAATGAAATATTTACGTGCATACTGCAATTGATTTCATCAATCAGCCATGGATTTTGAGATGGAAAGATCGAAGCATGCAAATGGAAACAGCGGAGAGGAATGGAACGGGAAAGGTAGCGAGTACCAAGAAGTCGAGGCCAGTCGTGGTACCACCGAACCAACCGTGTGATGTATGTCCCCGTCTTGTCGTCCGAGTCCGCATCAAGTTTATATCGCGGTAATCAAATCGCCCGACATAAATTTCGCTTATGCGCAGTTATGCGCGTAAAAGCGAGCACGGCGAAATTAGCCGAATCGAAAAGGAGGCGTAGCGAACTCGCGCGTTTGTGTGTGTGTGTGTATACGTGTGTGTCATGTGGCTTTACCTGCTCATCGTGAAATTAGCATGAAAGTCTTGTCGACAATTAATTGTTTAACAAAAATCGACTCATGTTGTGCGAATAAAAATATGTAGGTGATTGATGTCGATGATAAAATTATGAATTTTATTTATCGGGAATTTTAAATGATTACTAAAATTCGAATAAGGTATCGTTAAAATATTTTTTACTGCTTAAGATAATATTCCATAGTGTAAACCTAAGCTTGGCTAAAATAGCGTTTTTGGCAACAACGGGATACCGGTGGCTCTTAAAACATTTCTGATCTTCGTTCACTTTCCTATGTCGTCTGCTCTTTTCCCTTTCTTCTCCGCCGAGCTCGCTTCTTCGCCGTCGTTTCCCTCTCGCTTCGTTGCACGAGTGCAGCCCGTAAACGAGATAACGAGATCAAATTTATGGCACCAGATCCCCAACGAAAATATGATAATCACGGCTAATGCCGAATACCGGGTAAGGACCGCAGTTCCGCGAGACAGGCGACGCAGGACAAGTGGGGACAATGATTTTGTCCTTTGCGTCTCCAATTGCTCTTTTCGAACCACTCAGAATCCTTATTACCGAACAAAGAGCTCAGCCACGCAAACACGATCAAGGTTTTCCAAACCTTCATCTTTCATAAAGGTTGTCTGCAGGATGTTGCAAAAGATACTTTCTGCCGTATTATTTATTTAAACTAGAATTTCATATATTCCGTCTCTTACTCAAAATATCGATAAATTATTTTTTAACGTTGAAAAAAATTATATCTTTCTTTCGGGAAAAAGAAAAATGTAATTTATTGAAAAGAACATGCTATATTGTCTGTACATCAATACAGCCATTTATCTAAAACTTTTTATTATTCTATTATTTCACGCTACAAATTAACCACTCCGGTCTCTTCAGATTTCGAAAGCGCAGCGTATATAAATTAATCCAAAATTTGTGTAAACAGGTTCTATCGCGCTGAATCGCGCCCATCAATCAGTGCGCGTTTCTCGTTCGTCGACAGCCTCTCTCGCGTTTCTCTCCCGATTTCTTTCCCTTTTCTTTTTCTTCTATCTTTCTTATTTTCTCATTCTCCCACACTTCTCGCTCTGGCTCGTCTCCCTTTCGTTTTTTAATATTGCCGTGTATTTTATATTTCTGAAATCCTATCTGATCCTCGCGGACTGATTTATATGCACGATGATACACGCGTGCCGCCACTGCCAACGAGTGGAGAGGCACCGAGAGAGAAGCCATCATATCTGAGGGAATCATCGGGCGGCACAAACAGAAAATAACTGGGTTACGTTTAGTTTTATTTGGCGTTGCTCGCGGGAGGGAGGGAGAGGGAGAGAGAAAGAGAGAGAGAGAAGAGAACGTAAAGGGCGGCGAGATATAGGAGAGAAAAGAGACGGTTGGTATGAGACGGGGACACGTTATTGTTCTTGGAATGATTCCAAATAAAGATTTCACCGCAGTTCACGATGTGTAGGAACCTGAATAATAAAATCCCGACGATGGCACCAGCCGCTGGCCCCGCGTTCAGTTCTGCTGCCGGTTGGCCGGCAGTCGCGCACACACAGGCGGCGGCGAAAGTGTAAAGGTCGCGTTGTTGTAACAAATTGTCCCGCTTGGATTTACTTCAGTCGGCCGCTTTCAAGATATCAAAACGAGAAACGATTATCCACGGCAGGCGTCCTACTTGGAATCAACTCCCTTTGTAAGCGCTTCTCTCCAACGCGCCCTTACACAAGACGTCCGTAATGTCACAAAATTTTCGGAGCTGCTACTTTCATGCGCGGTCGCGAGACCTCAGATACAGAAACGCGATAACACTCCGAAGTGTCTGCAATCGTTATCTTTGGCTGTCTTCGTAGCTTTCTCACAGGCCGCGTTTGAAAAAGCAAAACGCTCGTATTTTATATTTCGAGCGCTTCCACTCTTTTTCTTTCTTTTTTTCTGGGTTCGCGGCAAGAATACTTGGAATAATTTCGAAAGTGATCCGAGGAAGAGTCTCCCGCTAAGATGATCCAAGAGCGAGGCGTAGAATACCCTTGCAAACAACCTCGCCAGGTATAAAGGAGTCGTTCGTTATATCCAGTTGCTCTAGTTACCAGGCACGTGGGGGTTGCGGATGCCTGACCGTAAGAGGAACGTAAAAACAATGTATAATATCACCCGACCACTAGCCGAGAGGGTACCAAGCAGCGACGATGGCGACGGCGAGAGAGAGAGAGAGAGAGAGAGAGAGAGAGAGAGAGAGAGAGAGAGAGAGAGAGAGAGAGAGAGAGAGAGAGAG